AAGAATCAGTTGAAACCTACAATTCAGAGCAGCTCAGTTGTTTATCGTGGATCAGCTTCAAATGTAAGTATCTTAATAAATCGTAACTGCGACATTCAAAATGGTACGCTTAGCATCATCATACTGGTTTTGTTCTGGTATTTGCAAAGATATCAGCTACGTTGCACTTACTTGGGATGAGCTGTCTTTCGAAAATATGTTTGGTTGAAAGATGAATCCCCTCAAGTGATAATAGTTAGGACAGAGTGGCCAGTTACTGACTGCTGCAATATCAACCCACGGACCTTTACGTCTGACATGTACCGTCGACCTAGTCAGGTAATACCTTTAGCTTCATTGTAACCTTATGTCGGTTTTAATCCTTTAGTTTTCTTCCCAAGAAGCGTTTGAACAAGTCTATCGATTCTAGTGCTAAGCGATGGCGGAACTAGTCTTCGTTCGCACATATGAAAGAGTGACGAGACTGAAAAGGAACCCTCGCTTCCGCATTCCCGATGGCTTAAAATTAAGAGACATAAACAAATACAGCTTTTACGTGATAGAGAACAAACGATCGCTCACCATGGACTAGTGTTTATTTTGTAAATATTTCACTCTTCGTCAACCAACGATCAATCTCCTTAGGTTTTCGTGGTGTGGTATTTGTCAGACCGAATTAAAATTTGTATTCGTTGTCAATGGCAGCTTAGATTTGGTATTGTTTACAGTAGATTTAACTTGGATTCCAAATGATTCTGCCACATAATAAGTACTTTTAAATCATTCTCGCTGAAATACTAATTATGCAGAATTGAAAGAGGGTTTGACGGTAAAAGCGCTAAAGGGTATTCATGGAAGTATGAAGCGCGATATAATTCGTTGCACAATTATCGCTAGCCCGTATTGTACGCTACTATTTATCTTTTTAGTGGAAGTTGTCGTTTAGAAACTTTCCTCTGAAAAAAGAATGAGAAAAATCGTGAACAAACTTGGTCTTTCTTTGTAAGTGATAAATGCGTAAAGTGTCTTTTCTGATCTAAATGGGGCATGTTAGCGTCTCGGAACCTTCAATTTTTGAAAATCAACCTCACGAATTAAGCATTGTTTATACTGCTGCTCAGATAATTTGGCAATGATTTATCAGTGAAAGCCCTTTCACAGTTGAACCTGGTCGAGTCTGGGTCATGTATATTTCTATACATTCTTTGAGCATCTTATCATTTAAAATTTTTAAAATTGCTGCACAGGGTCTTCTTTTGTTTGTTTGTTTGTTTTCAGTATTGGTGAACAGGCCGTCACCCTAAGAGACTAGAGTCTCTTCTTAATGAACATTTTCAGCTCCTGTTATAATCAAATTTAGAATCTATTTATTTTCTGAAATTAAAAACAACATTTATTTTATAAATGATGCCGTTTTGCGTGCAGGTAATTGCTTTTTTTTAGCTTAAAAAAGAGATATATTGGCTTCGGTGACCTTCATCTGTTGTGCAATTTCCTCTGGGCAAAGACATATTTCCGTCACAACTGGCTGGGGTATAAATAGTGCGTGGAAAAGTCTAGAAGGGTAAATTACATTCATATAAAACCTTTACTAATCAACCCAAACAAAGGTAAATTTCTTTTTTTTATTTTATGAAGGCTTTCAGTTTAATTTTTTACCGAGCTTCAAGGGGTATGGTAAAATGAAATCTAGCAGGAGATTATTTTCTCTTTATCCTAATGAACTGAAAATCTCCAAAAATATCCTTCAAATCTCTCTTCAATCAAATGATTTCTCAAAAGGAAAGAGTGTCACTTTCTGCAAGAAGTTTGGCCATAATTCGCTTTGTTTGCCGCACTTCATGTGTTTATTTACAAATAAAAGGCTGTCTCTTAATGGTAAAAGTTGAAAAGCATGTATTTCATGGCAAGCCCTAAGCTCATTATTGTTCCTTTGCAGCTGCATTTCTTTTTTTCTTGGCTGTCCTTTCCCTTCCTGTTGTTTCACTTTCCCCGATAAACCAAAACGCAATGTGAAGATATTTTCTGGCGATCTGTTAAATAAATAACGCATGACAACCTCCCTTATTTCATAGACAATGACTACCGTCCAGTCTAACACAAATATTACTTGTTTTAATGTTATCAGCCTTCGTTTCAAACAGTTGCGTAATCATAATGAGAACCAAATTCTGTAAAAATACAAACGACTGTTATCGTACATTTCTGATCAATCATTTTATAATTATTTCTCATTCAATTGTTTAGTTGAAAAGGAAGCGGGAACCGTGCCAACTGATAGGGCAAGTGATACAACTCTTGACAAACCACTGAGCGACGAGCGTAAAAAGATTCTGAATAGTGTAAAATATTACCTTGTAAAAGATATGGATGCAGAAGAAGTTTTACTAAGAACGGCAGTTGAGAACGTCTTTAACACAACCGAAGAAGACAGAATAAAAGCGAGGCCAACACGATCGGAAAAAAATGGGCAGATTTTACCAACGAAGGCTACAAAAGCTTATGAAATCTTCAAGAAAGCACTCCAAAAGGTTCACCAACACCTTGCAAACATAATTTAGGGACGTGGTAAGTGTTTTGACGACCACGAAAATCAATTAGCATTTAGAGAAATCGGTATGATTACATGTCATTGTAATTTTGGAACGATGCCGGATAATACACCGAGATGGAGATGTAAAACCGGTTCCTAAAAGTGAGGGCCCTACACCTGTAAAGCCTTAATTCTTTTTTAATGTAAGGAAATTGTACTACGATTGCTTCATATTGCAGCGAACTGTCATCATAAAGCCATTACGCAAACCGTTTTTCGTAAACTTTAAACTTTTGTAAGTTTTACACTTAATTGCGTTCCTTTCTTTCATCTCAGAAAACAAGGAACTGGGAAGTGATGAAAACTCAGAGCAAGCTGACAGGACAAGACAGTCACCTGAATCAAGTAAGTTCTTAGATTTACATTATTATTTACCCAAAGAGGGGCAGGGGAGGGGACTTACTTTCTTAGCGAGCCAAATTTGCTGGATCGAGCAATTCCTACAAACGATGCTGTTCTTAACAAGGTTGATGGATGATATCTTGGTGAAGGGAAGGCAACTGCTTAAAGATTCTGTCGTCTCATCAAGCGGTTACTGTTTAAGAGATAGTGCGGGAACTTGCTACTTCATGGCTGCACCATGGAACGAAACTTCATAAAAATACTTGAACTATATGAACTGTCGAGTAATGAACATTGTATATCGCTTATGCCATGAGCTTCGTCTCCATGATTGGCAGCTGTAAACAAACTTAGAAAGGAAGTCGTTACTTTATAACGATGCGCGTCAATAGAGGAAGAAGCGGTAACAAAATATACCAGGCAGCAAACTTCGCAATATAAAAACGGACCATCAATGCACTAGAGATAGAGCATCTGCCGTACTTGAAAAATGGAGGGATATGAAAGGGCGTGAGGCGACTGTAGGATGCCTTTTGGACGCCTTTGAGGATTGCAGATAATTTGTTAAGTATGGAAATCTATTTTTATCATCTTAGAAAGCGGCATGTTATGATATACCATAATAAATACTATATGTAAACAATAGCCTTCATTTCAGTGGGGAAATTACTTGTTGCTGGCCTAGTATATCACCGAGGCTCGGTTGTAGCGTGAGAGTGGCGCAAAAGTCTATTTGATTTTTTTTCCTTCTCAGAGTTATGGCAAGCCGAACTATAGGACAGTCCCTGGCTGTGAGGAAGTAAACAACCAAGTGAAGTGCTCAAAGAATTTGACGTGAGGAAAGCAATGCTACTACAAAAAAAAAACTGCAGGAAGCCAAAAGTCATATGATGGATATAATTATAGTTAGATGAATAAATAGGCAATACCCTAGATCGAATGGGCTTGAGAACATTTGCATAGGCTTCCACTAGCTTGATAGGCAAGGAGAATTTTAAATATGTCAACCATATAATTCTGTTGTAATTTGATATAGACAAGTTGGAGGGGAAAAATATCAGCTTTCATTACTAAATATCGATAAGTTAGACCACTAATAAACGTCTGTATTGTAATGTACAGGCATGCTTACACGTCTTTTTAGTGAAATGAATCTAAAACTTTACGCCGACATTGCTTTTATTTTTCAAACTCTTTCCTCAGTCCTGTAATGTGATCTTTCGGTCGAGGGTAGCACGGAAAAAAGTTTGACGCAAGTGTCAAGTGTGACATGCCATATGAGACCGCGGAGGTTTACAATTGTCACTTGTCGTAGATCTGAATGCCTCTGGCTAATTAAACGAACGTAGTCGACACTGGAACTTTGAATCTTGAGAGTTTCCACTTTTCCTAGCTTTGAAGAGAGAGCACGTCAAATAAACAACTTTTAAAAGGCTGATTTATTGTTAAGTATCAAAAGAATAACTGTTTATCGTTCGAAACCAGGATGTTCTACCACTAACAGTTATTATAGGGCGACGTCGAAAGGCTACATAGTCCAGAAAAGATCAAACCTATCAAGCTTTGGACAAACCTACGTCACTACAGGTGTATACATCACTGACTTGAATTGAAAGTTGTTGTCCCAATAATGTAAAACAAGATCCAAAATCGCGAGTGCCATGGCTGCTTTTTAAAATGTTTTTAATCCTCATATAGTACATTTTGGTCACCAGAAAAATTTAAAATATAAAAAGGCAGACAATTTTGTTTCCTCTAAGATATTCCTACTTTTAAATGATCACCAGCCGAGTTTGAAAGAATATTATCATGCGAATGTAACGGACATTTCATTTGTTAAGAGGCTGACTGACACGAAAACCATCCAAATGGCTACAAGTTAGTCGCCCGCTGGCGAAATTCTGGTCACAAACAGTCCATTCTCAATCGCCCAGGCGAACAGCCGGTGGCAATTTCGATCCCTATCTCGTATACCACATTCTTTCCAGTTCTAGCTTTCGGCCTCTATTTTGTCTGCTATTGAGAGCCGACGTTTATGATTAAAAGCATAAAATAGTTAAGATGACGATACTGCTGTATTGCCTTTTCATGATGCTCCTGAGAAATCTTGCTTAACCTTTCTGACTTTTTCAATCATTCCTCTCAGCCCTTCTACGTTTCCATTCTCCGCTATACGTTCTAAAATATTTTCTTCAATGACCTCTTTCAATTCAGCTACCTCCATCAGCAAGCAGCTTAACATTTCAAATGGCTTGTTCCTCCTCGTGTTCTGCTGCCTTTTGGGAAGTTTATCTACTTTGTTCAAAGCCAACAAAACAAATATCGCAAGGTGCACTTAATTAATAATTCTTACAAAAGTGATTTATGACAAATACAAAACTTTTCTTACTCGATTAAACATTAATGATAAACCTAGATTAGATCAAGCCCTTTAAAACGTTTTTATAAAAAAACATCCCTATAGAGTGATCCATAACAAAACAAGATACAATAGGCTTGAAAACCCTCAGCTCAACAGAGTCCTTATTTTGTCTCTGACATACTCTAAGTTGAGTCAATCAGCACAGTATACTCTTATACACAATCTACGAGCACTTTCGACCATCAAATAATATAAAAAATCTCAACTTTTTTAAATTGACCATATATGACCCATATGCCGCAATTTTCACGAAACAAAAACTAGGTAGATAGGGTTGATGATGTGTCCAGCAAATTCCGAATTTTACAGAACATCCGCGATTGACAGTGCAGTGACTATAAAGAATCAGCAAGTCAATTGTCTATGGAAGACTCGTAATGATTACATGGATTTTAAGAACGCCCAGAACTTAAACTCACCTACTTTAGATTTGAAACTCCCCTCTTCAACTTTTTCAACACTTTCCACCCTTTTTGACTCAACCTCATGTCTCCTTCCACTTTGTTGTATGTCTCGTGTTCTCGGTACATATACCTCTTCCGCAGTACTGGGCATCGTCTCAGGGGAACTCTCTCTCTCGCTGGCTCGGAGTTGCTCGGTCTCACCCTCTTTGCCGCAGATACCCCCCCCAAAAAAACCAAATATAACACTAGTAGTTACCACCTTGTAAAACTTATCCATTACGCAAGAACAATAAAAAGATATCAACTATCAATCCCACGACAGCCATAAAAACGGAATATAGGCGAATCACACGGTATCGTTAGCAAAATAGCTGTGCACTTGAGAATCCACAAATTTTAGTGTTATCTCCACAGGACAATTATGGCTCATATTTTAGTCAAGGTTTCTCAAGGTTACCCATGAGGTGAAGAGGTCCTGACTGCTCTCTGTTTTCGACTCAGCCTTTAATGAAAACCATGTTGGGCAATTTTTTTGTGTGTATGTTCAAAGCTTAATAAAGACAAGACGCTATTGAAATTTGCGTAGAATGATAAACCTAAATTAGATTAAGCTTTTTGAAAAGTTTTAGTCAAAAAAACCCCAAGAGTGATCAAAAACCAAAAAAAATACAATAGGCTTGAAAACCCTAAACTCAGCAGAATCCTTATTTTGTCTCTGACATACTCTAAGTTGAGTCAATCAGCACAGTATACTCTTAGACCCAATCTTCGAGCGCTTTCGACCATCAAATGATATCAAAATAGTAACTTTTTAAATTAACCATATACGACCCATATGCCGAGATTTTCACGAAAAAAAAAACGAGGTAGATCGGGTTGATGATGTGTCCAGAAAATGCTCAAATTTTACCGAACATCGACAATTAACAGGGCAGAGTCTATGAAGAATCACCAAGTCAATAGTCTATGGAAGACTCGCAATGATTGCAAGGTTTTTAACCCAATTATACTCTATCATCATTATGCATTTTCTCAATAAATGGTGCTAACAAGGAGAATTTGTTTAAAAATCAGTAGCTTCGTTACTTAGTGATCATTACCTTTATTCTCATAACCTTAATGTGTGATTCAAGGGGAATATTGTAAGGAGAAATTAGACACTAGTCATTCGTAGGGGTAAGGGTTAAGAACGCTGAGAACTTAGACTCACCTACTTTCGATTTGCGTTTTAACAAATTACTCTTTCTAACTTTTTCGAGCTGTGCCACTCTTTTTAACTCATCCGTATTCCTCCTTTCACTTCCCCCCTCATCTCTCCTTCCACTTTGCTTCTTGTGTCTTGTTCTCGGTACATATACCTCTTCTGCAGTACTGAGCATCTTCTCAGGGGAACCTTCTCTCTCGCTGGCTTGGTGTTGCCCGGTCACACCCTCTTTGTCGCATAATACCCAAAAAAAAGACCAAATATAACAATAGTAGTTACCATCTGGTAAAACTTATCCATCATTACGCAAGAACAACAAGAAGATATTACTTATCAATCCCACGACAGCCATAAAAACGAAATGTTGGCGAATCACACGGTATCGTTAGCACTTGAGAATCAGCACATTTCAATATAATTTATCACATAAACTGCGGTGTTATACAGGGATTCCTGGCCCTGAGAAAACCCGTAACAACACACGTGAAAAAATATCGTATTTTTTCACGTGTGTTGAGATCGCCAATCAGCTGCTGACACATCACTCGCCTTTGCCGCCACTCGGTCAGGTTGATGAAAGCCTTCACGATTCTCAATACAAGTTGTTTATCGAAGCTTCCTCGAATTATATGGCGGCGAACCTCACTGCCTGTCGTATTGCTGACAGGCAGTGAGGTTCAAACTTTCCCAGAAAGGGAAGAAAACCAATATACTAAAAGAAAAACCGAAAGTTACGTGTTCAGTGGCTTTGGGGTTAGCATTTCTCTCGGCTGAGAATGAAAATAGACAACTGGAAGATTTGCCACTGGCTCATTTTGGCCGTCCACCTGGACGACTTCTTCTGTCGGTAAGGACTCGAAAATCAATAAATGAGAATTTTGTAAATTGAAAATTACGACCATTGTTGTTTTTTTAATCATGATTCAACGCATTTTTCCATCTTAATCTTCACGATTGTCGGTTTATTTATTTTCATTCATTAATGAGTCGGCTTTTCTTCTCAGTAAAGGGCTATTGTGTTTATGATAAACAAAATAATACATAGTTGTTTGTTGATATGGAATTTCTCTTCTCGTGTTCAACTCGATATCGCACTCGTTCGCTGCGCTCACTCGTGAGCTATCTAGTTAAACACTCGAAGAGAAATTCCATATCTACGCGCACCCATGTATTATTCTCTATTTATCTCTGGGGTTCTCATGATCAAGGCTACCCATAGAGTGTTGGGGTTTTGAGCGCTCTCTGTTTTCGACTCAGCTGTTAATGAAAACCATGTTGTACAATTCTTTTTTTGTGTATGTTCAAACTTTATACAGACAAGACCCCAGTGAAATTAACGTATTGAGTTTATAACTGAAAAATTCAAGTCCACCCTGAAGCTCTGATGGAAAGGGAAAAATTTTCTGACTTGTTATAATGATTTAAGATGTAAAGATGCGTAGAATTAGTTGCTCACCGGGATTTTCAATTAGGCTGAGGTTAAGATTTCAACCAACAGCAAACTGGTATATCGCCTGACCCGATTTTTCCGTTTTTCAGCCAATATGATATGAAAAGCGCGAGATACATATGATGGTGCATGCATCATTATTCATACATTCATTAATTCTTCCCTAAATTAAATTAAAGCGCTAAATTATTGAGGAAAATCTCTTTAAATATTGATCGTACCTTCCTCCGTGCTGTTACACGTTTCTTTTCGTGCAATTTCTATTTCAGAAACGAGGAAATCAAATGATGAGAAAATTAGATCTTACGAATAATACAAATGCAGATTGTTGGTTGTAAAAGCAACTAAAAACACTGTGACGGCACCATAGAAAATTTCAAGAATTCATCAGGAAAATCCTCTGGACTTAAAGCGAAATGGATGATTTCCATAAAACGTACAGATTTAAGTACCTAGCAACTTTTCTGCGATCCTTTTCTTTTCCATCGCAATAAGTACAGACTCAAGACGTCCCACAGTTGCCCTGCTACCTTTCTTATCCCTCCATGACTGGAGAACAGCACCTCCCTTCTCGCGAACTTTATCGTAATCAATCTCTATGTTGCGAAGGTCGCACTCAGGAACTCCAAGAAATATTCCGAGGTCTTTCCAGCAGTTTCCTATCTCATCTTTAAAAAGGGTTGCTAACATTTGAGTAACAACTGACTTTCTTAACTCTTCGATTTGGGCTAATAATGACAAAAAAAACAGAACCAGCCAATAACTACAAAAGGAAAAACATTTTTAACAAATACCCGAGGAAAGATTCAAGCACAATTAGAATCAACTTTGACATAAGGACTTCATAGAAAAGAGCGATAGTTTGCTATTTTAAAGTAAATTAATATTCTTATGTCCTGCAACGACCGAGCTCAGTTTTCACGAACACTTTGCAGTGCAGAATGCAAAATGAGCAATCGAGCCATCTAGGGAGAAAATCATACGCATGATGACAATGGAAAAACTTATCAAGTCGTTGACAGACTAATGTGATTATTAGCTGATGAGCCAATTAGAACCCTTTTCAAGATGAGAGGTAGAAAAAAAAGGAAAATTTAATGAGAAGTCTAGAAGAGACTTTATACAATTAAATATAGGCGGCATAGATAATTAGACTGCACCAGATGAAGTTGGTCGCTTATTGAAGGTCTCTTGGCGACGAGGGCTTACTCACACTCTCAACTATACATGTGGAAAACGAGGTTTCTAACAGGCGTTTTAAACCAAACAATAGCACTTACTCTCACAAAATTGTCAAAGAATAGAGAAGAGAAGGAGCAGCCGACACAACGTTTTTCCGAAAAGACCTACTCAGAATTATTATATATAAACTCTGTGAAGGTATCATAACCTCTCTTCTAGCATTCTTCCTTTCACGTTCCTTACAACTATTTGGACAGATTCAAACAGCTCTCACCCGAGTCATCTACACGCAACTCCACAGAAGTTGAAGATTTACAAACCGGGAGTTCTTCCTCTGACTGTGGTATCTCCCTGGAACTTCCTGAAGAGCGGTCCTGTTACGAGGAAAAGAAATCCATACATCATAAAAACATGGTATTTTCAGAAATGAATGTCGATAAAAATGAAGCAACATGTTTGACTTATTTCAAAACTCCATCAACAGACTTATAACCTCTAAAAAAAAATCCTGAAAATAGTACATAATGTATAGAGTGCGATCGACATTTCTTTGGTTACGTTTCTCGTGACGGCAAATTTGTTACCGGGTTACCTTTTTCATCACCAAGATTCTAACATCAGAGCTTTAAAAATCTTTCTTGAACTTCAGGTGATTTTTGATTTCCCACTTAGTGACAATTTTATTTGATGAGAAAATAAGCCTTACTGATATAGGTCCTTTACATTTAAGATAAATGGGGTAAGTTTCTATAGAAACTCTGGTGCTGCGTCGGTGGGAGAGTATAAAAGGGTAATTTAGTATTATCAACTGAGTTGATAACGTAAATTGGCCACCGTAAAGAGTTTAAAAGCTGACGTTTCGAGCGTTAACCCTTCGTCAGAGCGATTGACGAAGGGCTAACGCTCGAAACGTCAGCTTTTACGTTATCAACTCAATTGATAATATTAAATTACCCTTTGATAGGATATGTGGACTGAATAAAACGTAAGGTCCCTGTCATACCTTAAACGGTTCCATTGGATGAAGCCGCAGAGAGCAAAGTTTCTCTCGTCTCTCCTTGTCGGTTTCGTTTTTGAAAAATTCTATAGTCGGTGCATCGAAAAGAACCCCAAAATCAGATGTAAAATCGGAGTCTCCTTTAAACCTATGAGAGAAAAGAGCAACATTGAACCCACAACACACATTTCTCAATAGTGTTCGGCATATTCAAGATGGCATGTGTCACCATTTTTTGTCGAACTGCAGAGGTTTCCGAGGAAGACTTTTTCAATTAGAAGCCAAACATGCGAATATTTTGTTTTAATCGGCAAATGTAGACCATAATGCTTCGTGGTTATTGCGTATGTCTTCACTCGCGAGAGATTACCACTTTATCATGGTGATCAGGCAATTCACCGCGATTATTCAGTGAGGCAGCTTTCCGCAAAGAGCTTTTTTAAAGTTCGTGTAAACATACAGGCCCTGCCGTAAAAAATGCTTCGCGTTGGATTTTCATTTAGGCAAGGTCTTAAGGCCCATATGATGATTTTGTCATGTTGAGGGCGAAAGTTACATCGTTCTTAACTAAATAAAAGTTCCTGCAAATTCAGCCTATAAGCCCGTTTAATAATGCAATAATCCACCAACGCTATTCAGTCTGTCCACAGTCTAAGAAAAAATTAATGATTCTTTAGAAATTCATTCCACTGTGAATTCAATGACAGTAATCAACTAATTCTCAGTGTGATCTGAATCTTAAGTGGATCGGTGATCAAAAAGCACCTAAATTTAAAAAAATTTATCTCTTTCTGGGACTTACTCAACAGGGGTGTAATCTCTATCAAGTCCTTCGTCAACTGCAGTGAGGCCATTTGACAGAGAATAGAGTGCCTGATCTCCTTTGGCGAGCCTTGCTGACTTTGCCTCGCCATAGAGGAGAACGCCATCCTTTGAAGACATCTCTTTTGTCAACTCGGTTTTCATGTGGAGTGGAAAACATTGAAGAGTCAGTAATCCTCGCTTTGGATCTTGTCTTGCTTCCTTTTCCTTCTCAGGACACCAGAAAGCGAAAAATCCTACATGTTGCGGACAGGAAAAGTCCACGATTAAAAGCTCTTCAGCATTCAGAGGTTTCGTAGAAGAATCAAGCATCACACTGCATCTGGCAATAACATTAAGGCACAAGAAATTTGATACTTGAAGATATTGGGGATATGGAATGTAGATAACTGACTCAGTTTTTTTGTGTTTCTGAAGATGAAAAAGCTGCAAATTAGAAAAAAATGCATGTGCATGCTACGGCAACGTATTTTCATTTTATTGTTTGACACTCCTGCGATATATGAAGTTCTCAGTTCGCAGATACCTCGTATATGTAGGAAAAAAACAAGATTGCAAACTTACTCAAAGAAGCGATTGATCTGAAATGTATCAGTCCCATCTACCCCAAATGTCACAATCCCTTCTTCCAGTTTTGGTGGCACCGTCAACTCCTCTGTCCAATCGACCCATTTCCGTGACGTGTCTTTACCGCCGCGGGAAAACACTTTCACGTGGCTTGATGACATTCCCGATAACGTCTGGTTTTGTTGCGAGTCGATGGGTACACTTATTAAGATGGGAGAGGTCAAACTAACTTGCAAAGGATCCCTTGACTCAACTTTCGGTGTGAACTTGATATGAATGATAGGACCAACAAGAACTCCCTTTCCTTTGAAACCATCACTTGAAAGCTCTTGCACCTACGAGAAATCCACACCAATTCAACGCACAAATCTCAAAAATTAATATTTTATGGAAAAATCCAAATAATTCAGCTATTGCAATATCTCATATCACAAATCCCATAAATCTGACACCGTCCTCCTCAGCCTCACGGAGCAGTTGAAAAAAGAGTTGAAGGATCACAATACTATCGGCCTTGTATCAACGGACCTACCTAAGGCGATTGACACTCTGCCACATGAATAAATGGTGGAAAAGTAGAGGGCTTTATAAATCGAAGTCAACGAGTTAGATTAGGAGATCAGTTCTCAAGCCGGAAAGGAATTTCAATAAGAATTCCACAAGGAAACGTCCTGGGTCCTTTGATATTCAAGATATTCATGAACGATCTCGCCCATGTCATCAAACACGCGGATAATTTACGCCAACAAAGAGTCCGCGAAAACTGAAGAAACCATGAAACGCTCGTGTAGACATGCGGCTCGAGGGAAATGGTATGTAAAGAAACCCAGCAAAGTACCAATCAATCGTCATGGAAAAGACGTAAACCACGCCTCAGTTCTATTGTGAAAACACAGAAATCCTCATTATCAAAGATTTGAGATGCTGGGAGTAACGATAAACGAAAAACTAAAATTTGAGAAACTTGTAGGCAGAGTTTGCAGAAAAGCCTCTAGGCAAATTGCCGCGCTCAAGCGTATAAAAAAATACTCCATTTTGAAAGAAGAAAGAACATCTATTCTGTATTAATCCTTCCCCATTTCAACTATATTGCTCTGAGACCTGGCACTTCTTCTATAAAAGTGCTAGTGGAAAACTGGAAAAAGTAAACGAACGTGCACTGCGTTTTTTCAATGAAAAAAAAAACACTACAAGGAACTACTCAGTAAGATAGGCTTACTGTCATTGACTAATTAAGCACTCGCAAAAATAGCTTGTACGGTCTTTAAAACCATCATGCTCCTTAAAGCATAAAAAATTCACTGGATTTCAGAAACACTAAATACGATTTGAGGGAACCGACATTCAAAAACTGCCTAAGGTCAACACAACAACCTACGGACTTAAATCGTGGTGTTACCTAGCGCCATAGCTGTGGAATCTGCCACTAGAGTCACACAGAACTGTTAGCGTTATTAAGGCCTTCAATAATAGTATAAAGAACATTGATCTTTGAGGCCTTTAAACCCAACTTTTTAGTACATATGATTATCTTATCGCTTTTTAGTACATATGAATATCGTTTTAGCATAACGTAAAATTATTTTAGATTGTATTTTATTATCCTGACTATGCCTGCCCATATGTAGCAATATTTAATCCTTTTATATTACTATTTGATTTAAAATTATTTTCTCTTAAATTCGAACTTCATGTCCAACATTTATTTAAATTTAAAACAAATTCGTCATTAACGCATTCAAAACTTTTCATTACTAGTTAAAATTTTTTTTATTTAATCTTGTTTTCCATTTAAATTTAAACTTTTAAACCGTTTTTAATCTTATTGTAACATTTCTTTAAATTGCTTAAGTTTGATTTAATCCTTTTCATTAATTTAAATTTAAAGTCTTTTTTTCTTGGGCATGCTGAGGAAATGCTTCGGGAAAGTACATCCGCCGGCCTCTATGGCCGATTGAACAGACAAGAACGTTTGAGAGCGGTATCTGGCCCTTACCAAAGTAACAACACAACTAAGAAAACGGTGAAGACAGAAAAGAAGGTTTTGGAATATACTTTGTTACGTTACTGGGACTTGAATGACCCGGTGGAGCTTCACCATCTAAAATGGGACTCTATCTTTCCAAACGGTATGTTGGTATTAGAAGAGTGTGCGGACAAAACCACCATACGGAAAGCAGTAAAGGAATCTTTAACGGATAAATTTCCTTTACTTGGCGTTAATGATTTCGAATTTGTAAAGGTCCGCCACAAGGCAATTTCGACTCTTCAATTGGGACCAGGAACTGAGTACAACTATTCTGTAGTGAAAAAGATGGCTGGCCAAGGCTTGGTTTATCTGAAAGTAAAGCAAGGGTTTGAGTTGTCTACAATGCAGGAGCAAAAAGCGATGGAGATCTTTTGAAGTCAGCCTTTGACTGTTCAGTAAGTACACCCCCAGAAAATCTGATTTCTGATGTTGAAGATAATCAGCATGTTGAAAATCAGGATTTGTTGGACAGAACAGATGCAAGAGCACCCTCAAAAGCTGATCAGCTGATAGAAGAAATCCGCAAGCAAGACTTGAGTGATCCTGTGAAAATTTTGCGTTTCTTCCAAAAAGAGTTTGTTAGAGGGCGTGATTTGGATGTGACAAGGAAATCTGAATTAAAAGAAGGGGAAGCCAACTATATTTCCATAGACAGACATGACATTTGAAAGACAACTTTCGCCGAGCTTAGATCCATAGAGAATTTCCATATTAAATTTGAGATGGATTTCATGGCAGAAAAAGCAAGAGATATGGGTGGGCCACGCAAAGAATTGATCTACCTTATGAATTTGGCAATCAAGGAAAATTATTTTGCCCAAGGCCTCAGAGAGCACACTTCTGATGACTATTTTTGCGTGGACATCATAATGGGTATTGCTCTCCCACAAAATGGACAGTTACCAACTTTCCTACTGGTCAATGTCATTGAAGAATTGGTGACATCAACGAACTCCGTTGCATTGTCAATTGGCAACAAGGATTGGATGTGTTTGGATTTTTCAAGATCTTTCAGAAAGTGTCAGTATTGCTTTATCTAATAGGGCCAATAAAACACAAACTTATGGCAAAATTGCTCCTCAATTTATTGCCCCTTTAATTCTCCCAAGAGGGATTCACATGTAGCCTGAATTCTCCCAAGAGGGATTCACCTGTGGCCTGAATTCTCCCAAGAGGGATTCACATGTGGCCTGAATTCTCCCAAGAGGGATTCACATGCAACCTAAGAGAAAAGCAAGTTTATGTTTTATTGGTGAAATTTGTACGAGAAGTTTCGAGTGGCCGGAGAGATGGAATCACTTTTAGTCATGCTCTGGTATTTGTAACAAGGGCTTCAGAGGAGCTGTTGAAGGCCTAAATGTAATGACTTTCCTAAATGTAATAACATTTGGTCTTAAATTTAATAAAGTCCCAAATGTAATAAGCCTTCAATGCAATCGTTTAACTTCGCTGGTGCATTGTTCATATAGCGGACATTCACACTGAGATTTTAAGGTGACAGCTGTTGCACCAAAGAATCCTCTGACCAATATTTATGGCATATTGCGTCTTTTCATTTGCTAGAGACGTCGGTCGAGAAGCATCGGCTAAAAACCCTTCTACTGATGTGCTTTTGGCATCAAATTGACAGACGTCAAAACGATGAGAACGCTGATCAATACCTCTCTTTACATCATTGGCTCAGACTCTGTGGTGCAACCGATTTTGACGATATACTTGTGTGATCAGTGCTGAAGTCAACACTTTATGTAACCAAATTACAGGGAAAAGGAAGTCCACTGATCCATACTTAAGACAAATTCCGAGCTCGGAAATGCATTTTTGTACCGTCAGTTTCCCTTGCTTGATTTGTATGGGTCTGTATGAAATATATTCACATGCGTTATTGACCAAGCGTGAGGTCGAGATGGCTGGATATTGGTGACTTCTTTGGGCCGCGTTTTTATGGACCGAGATGAAGTCA